TGTAAGTGTGTGTAACTTTTTGTAAATGTGTGTGTATGTCTGTGTAAGTGTGTGTAAGTGTGTGTAAGTGTGTTTAATTGTGTATGTATGTGTGTGTAAGTGTGTGTAAGTGTTTTTAATTGTTGGTAACTTTGTGCAAGTGTGTTTGAAAGTGTGTTTGAAAGTGTGTACGTTTGTGTAAGTGTGTGTAAGTAGATAAGTAAGTAAAAAATAAAAGACAATATACAAAAAAACTGAGGATGGAGAATGATGGAAGTTTTTGGAAACTTGTGAAACCATTAGACCTTGCAGAGATAGCTGGATTAGTACACGCTGAAAAACATGTTATAATAACAATGTATGAGATGTTAACTATATGATAAAGAATTAAAAAGACGGACTTCCTCAATTCTCCACAATATACTCCAGATTCAAATTCTCTTGATGATACTATGTACTTATTGACTGATTTAGGTAGGGACGTACGGGAAAATATTTGGCTCCAGGTGATGCCGTACAAATGACCGAGATAAAAATATTCACCCGTAATGCCCGACCTAATTCAGTCAATAAGCATTTTATCATATGACCCTAAATAAAAAATATATGGAGACGGCCCTGCTCACGCCATTTTTGCCATGGTTTTTCTAAGAGTAGGGCGCGCGCACGGGCAGATACGGGTCATATGATAATACATCATATTTTTATGATTTAAGCAGCACTTATCCTGACTATTTACCTTGCGATGCTAACTGAACTTTCATTCAAAAGTAGCCCGCTGATATACAAATAACAATACAACAGTTAATTTAAGGACGATAAAGCTAGTAAACACGTTTTTAAGTAGCTATATGCCAAGCAATACATTCATACTATAAGAAAGAAAAAAAGAAAATGAAAAGGTTTTTGTTATCGAGATATTAACGATTAAACACAAGCGTCTCAACACGTTTTTGATGGAAAAAAACTGATCTTTACTGATGCGAAAATAACCATCAGTAACCGTTAAATGAAGCTTTTCTAGAAAACTTAAACTATACATGTCGTAGCCTCACAAATACGAATACATCAAAATATTTGAGAAAATATTGAGAAATTTAGTCAACTTTATTTATTATTTGTTTTCATTAAGCTCGACAAATTTTGACGTCTACTTTAGGAGTACTTTCTTCATTGTGATCGACTGGACGGACCTTTGGGAAATTATATCGGAAATAAAAGGCGCGCGATAAACTCAATATTTTACGGCAGTTTTGAATTATTTTGTTCGTCGCTTGTGTTATGGAGGACACTTTCTTGACCTCGAGCACGAAACAGTTCATAAAATTGTTTTTTTCCCATATTTTAATTTACTTTTAACTTTCACCTTTGTCTATTGTTGTCTCCCTGTCGTAATACGCATGGTAAATGACGTCATAATTTACATTATGATGTCACAGCTCAATTAAAGTTTTCTAATTTTTGCAAACGTAAAATTTCCATACATTAAAAGTTATTCAATTCTTGCTCAATATTTTATTGTACGAAACAGACAAGTTTTCAACGAAAGTTAGAGCTTCTTCGAAAAGTGTCAAAGAAATGGTAAGAAAAAAACCTTTTAACTAACGCAAGACACTATTTCTATAAATAAACTGAAAATTCTTTTTGTTACTTTTTCAGGCATTGCATGATCGACTAAGGTCTACCAGGCAGAGGAGACTTCAAAGAAAAGAAGGTGATTTGTYCTGGATTCTCATCRTYCTGGGATTKKTACTTCAAATCAKTTTATATGTACCCAGACKTATMCTGTCAGGTGKCGGTAAGTCAATCARCTTCAYATTGAAAATACAAAATACTTTCAAAAAACTTCAAATGARGGTATGGCTAACTGCAGATSGAACCCTGAAACAACCTCCGKGCTGATTTAAGTTTGGGCATGGCTAAGTCGTAKATYAAATWAGTAGTTAACGAACCTCAAATTAAGGAAGAGATAACAATGCAGGTTTTCCTGGAACTATGAATCGAAGAGAAAGACATGCATATCTTTTTCTTATTCAGTCTCACTTCTTGAAGATGTCATTATCTTTTGGTCGTTGGTTCTACCGTCTCTCAGTAAGGTTGTTGCTGCAGTCATGATCATCTTGAGATTTGTGGTGTACCTTGTTTTATTTGTACCGAGACTCATTTGCACAGCTATAGGTAAGACAAGCAACTTGTCTATAATGTTATTCACTTTTTACCCAGAGAAATAATTGAAACCATGGTGATGCTCAAGCTGCAATCAAATGATTATTGAAATGCGATCAAATGAAGCACGGGTTAATTGTACTAATAATGCGTTGCTGTGTCTCATCGCTGTGGTCCTGGGGTTAATCCTCGGACCTTCTATCATATATGAGTAGAGTTGTTGGGTAGTGGCTCCTGTACTTTGAGACTTTTTCAAAACATTCGTCGCGTTTTCTTCTGAAACATCGCTGCAATACCTCTTTTTTCAGGAACGCTTTATGATGATGTGAAGTGTTTTCTTTCATTCATTGCGCCTAACAACAAAGTTGTCACAGGAAATACCAGAGAGAACAATAGAAATGGAAATATAAGGATCACTGGAAAAGACAATGAAACTGAATGCAAGGAACAAAGAGAAAAAGGAAAGCAAGAAAGAAATCCTGACAAAGAAAACGCTGCTCAATCACGTGACCAGCTGGGCGTGGCAGCGTCCAGGAAAACGGCATGCGAGAAAAACATCAGCCAACCGCTTCCAAGAAACATGCTGTACCTAAACAGGATCGCGTCACGACCCAAGGAATCCTGATTGGTTGCTGTCTTGCTGACCAACCAATAGTAGAAAAGGTGAATGATGAAAAAGCAAAGAAGATGCCAAGAAGAAGACGCAAGAACAAAGCAGCAAAATCAGCAGGGAAACAAACCACAGCTGTTGTAACTGAGATGGAGCAGACCAGTTCAGTTGCGGTGAAACAAGATGAAGTAGTATCGACAAAAACAGGTATTATGAATGTTATACCATGAAACTATTCAAATCAATCATCCAGGAATCTATTTTTAAAAGCGTCCTTAAATTTCATTAAACCCTGAAACAACGCTCTGGACTGATCAAAGTAAGGACGTGGCTAACTCACAGATTGAACCGTGACTCAACCTCTGGACTGATCTAAGTCAGGACATTCTCACTGATCGTATAATGGGTACTGTGAGGAAGCTGAAAATATAAGTATACTTGGAAGAGAGAATTCCTCCAATCAATTGTGGACGAACACAAAACACCCCAAGGCCACAGGGTTGGGAGGTGAATGCACTAAATAAAACAGGAGTAATAGCGTAATCTATATATGCCGGTTTATTTTCAGAAAGTTGTCCACTGAAGAACACCACATGTACAGCAACAGCAGCTCCAACGCAATGCAACACCTACCATGCTTCTACTAGAAGACGAACCCGTCGCAGTTACAACTTGGGATCCTACATAACGTACGAACAAAAGAAACTATTGTTTGTTAAAAAGAAACAACGCAAATAGACCGACAAGGTTTCATCCACGACATGGTTCAACTGGCTTTTGTTTCCATCATAACTGTCTTGTTTGAATGTTTCGTCTTTCAGGGGTGGGTCTGTTGTATCCTAAACTTAGAAATAATTAGTAAAAACACCAATCTCATGCCATGTGCTCTGGCTCTCGTTTCTTTTGTTTATTCTGCGCATGTTCCACAGGAATCCCATATGAATACAACATCCTTCCTATATAACATAAATAAAATATTAACATAAACATAATCACGATATCTTCACTGTTTCTGCTGTATATGTAATGTCTTCAACAAAGTAACTTAATGTTCATAATCGTTTCTAGTGTTCATAATCTTAGATAATCTGGTGGTCTTCTGTTTGATCTGGTAGGGTAGCGATGAGCTTTTGGACTTGAGCAGGGTTGAACTGCTGGTACTGTTGTAGTGTTTTCAGCCTTTGACGTATCAATCCTTTCCGGATTCGATCTTGGTGGGGAAGCAACCTCAGATGTCTTTGGCTGAGAATTACCTGTTGGCAGGTTTGTAGCATCAGGTTCTGTAACCGTGTCTTGTTCAATTACTGGCATTGAGTCACTCAACTCAACATCTAGATGCACACTTGTTTGTGGTTGCACTTTACCCTTGAGTATTTGATCTACATGTCTCTTACACAATTGTCTTCCTGCTTGAACATTGTAATTTCTCTTTCCGAGAACTTCAGATATCTTTCCAGGCAGCCATTTGTCTCCAGCACCATAGTTTCTCACCATCACGGTATCTCCTTCTTGAAACTGTCGTAAGGGTCTATTTGCAGTTCTTTCTGCAATAGAGTTCTGTTTGTTCTCTACATAACGTTGTACTGAAGGCTTAAGTAAATCTAATCTTGTGCGAAGCTTTCTCTTCATCAATAGCATTGAAGGACTTTGTCCAGTAGTTGCATGCGCGGTGTTTCGGTACACAAGCATATGCCCTGCAACGGCAGTATCAATATCTTCTCCCGCAACTGTAGCTTTTGTTATGGCTGATTTAAGAACTTGAACGATCCTTTCTGCCTGCCCATTTGTCGAAGGCTTGTAAGGCGCTGACTTGCGATGGATGATGCCATTCCTGTTGCAAAAGTTACGGAATTCTTCAGATACGAACTGTGGGCCGTTATCTGAGACGATGATCTCCGGTAGACCATGTCGACTGAAAATGTCGCGTAGAACCTTGATTGTGGAAGTGGCTGTTGTACTGGGCATATTCACCACTTCCGGATATTTGCTGTATGCATCAACAACAACTAAATATGTTCGTCCTAACACTGGACCTTTGAAATCTACATGTAGCCTTTGCCAGGGTCTTGTAGGGTAGCTCCATGGGTGAACAGGTGCCTCAGATGGGCTTGCTCGAGTTGCTTGGCAAACATGACATGATCGTACTGTTTCTTCTATTTCAGAATCTATGTTAGGCCACCAAACATAAGACCTCGCAATAGATTTCATACGTGTCATTCCAGGATGGGTCTCATGTAGTTCCTCAAGAACTTTATCTTGAAGGGATGCAGGAACAACAACTCGAAGTCCCCATAACAAGCAACCTTGCTCTAGGGTTAACTCATCTTGTTTGTTCTTGTATGTGATTAAAGATGGATCCACAACATGTGGCCATCCAGTCATAGTGTACTGCAAAACTCTGCTCAGGGAAGGATCAGCAGCAGTGGCCTTTGCAATCATTTCACTTGAAACATATGGCATACCTTCATTTTCAAGGAAGTAGCAGTTGACATTGCGACTTGGTGGTTCCCATGTTTCAGGCAAAGGTAAGCGAGACATTGAGTCTGCATCTGCATGTGCTGTAGTGTTCCTGTATGCAATGCTGTAGTTGTATGACTGAAGTACTAAGGACCATCTCTGTAACCTTGCGGCAACGTGAAGTGGTACTGGACGGTCTGGAGCAAACAATGATAGTAAGGGTCGATGATCTGTAATAATCGTGAATTTACGTCCACTCAAGTACTGATGGAATCTCTTTATGCCAAACACGATGCTAAAAGCCTCCTTATCCAACTGGGAGTAGTTCTTTTGTGCTGGGGTTAAAGTACAGGATGCAAATGCAACTGGACGGTAATGATTGTCAATGTAGTGAGACAACACAGCACCTGCTCCATATGATGAAGCATCACAAGATAAGTAGAGGGGTAGGGCATCATTATAATGTACAAGTGTCTGTGATTCAAGTAGCAGTTTCTTAGCATTTATGAATGCCTGTTCCTCAGTCTTTGTCCATCTCCACTCGACATCCCTCTTTAGCAATCTGTTTAAGGGCGCCAGGACAGTTGAATGGTTAGGTAGAAACCTTGAATAAAACATCAGTAATCCAAGAAAGGACTTAAGAGCAGCCACATCCTTTGGACTAGGTGCATTTTTCACAGCCTTGAGCTTGTCTTCAGTAGGATGGAGGCCATGTCCATCAATCACATGACCTAAGTAAGTAACAGAGGATTTGTTGAATTGACACTTCTTTTGGTTCAGTTTGAACCCAGCAGTAGAGAGTCTTTCTAGGACTTTGGAAAGCGTGTTGAGATGATCTTGTTCATCAGTTCCTGCAACTAGGATATCATCAATGTAGCAAATGGTCTTTGAGAGACCAGCAAGGGTATTGTCCATTATTCTCTGAAATATAGCTGGTCCAGAGTGCACACCATTTGGAAGTCGTGTGAATGAGTACAGTCCCATGTGCGTATTAACAGTTAGATATGGCTGTGACTCTGTTGCTATGGGAATTTGATGGTATGCTTGGCTTATGTCTAAGATAGTAAACTGTGTGCACCCTCTTACTGCTTCATGAATATCCTCTATTTTAGGAAGTGGATAGGTTTCAGCATCAGCACAACTATTGTAAGTCACACTGAAGTCTCCACATATGCGAACGTCTTCTGAATCTTTCTTGCCAACCACCACTATTGGTGCAGCGCAGGGGGCTGTTGCAACTCTCTTTATCACTCCTTCTTCTTCCATCTTAGCTAGGGCCTTCTCAACTTTTGGCTTTTGTGCATATGCTACAGGTCGAGCCTTGTGAAACTTTGGAGTCTCCTTGACTTTAAGATGCTCAGGTGGGCCATTGTAGCATCCCAATCCTGAATCAAACAATGCCTCATGTCTCTTTAATAAAGAAGTCAGGTCTTGGTTTTGGGTAGCTTTAACATTATGTACTGTCTCTATACCTGGCAGTTTGTGCCAGTCTAGATTAACTTTACTCAACCAATTTCTCCCAAAGAGGGGAGTAGTCCCAGCATTTAAAATAAGTAGAGGCAATGGATAATTGCTGTTATCATACTCCACATCCACTTTCACTTCTCCTAAGGGGTTTATTTTCTCTCCAGTGTATGTAGACAAAACCACTTGTGTAGGCTTCAATGGAATGTGTGAACAAAATTTATCATAGAAGGACTTGGGAGCTAATGTGAATGCACATCCCGTATCAAGCTGCATCTCAGTTGGAAGACCTTCAATCTTCAGTGGAACTTTTATGTCTGGAGTTGAGACATTGTTCAGTTCAAAAATAGTATACATGTCTCCTTCTAGGTCAGAATGATCTTGTGAAGAATCATGATCAGGTTGCATTGAATGCACCCCAGTCTTCTTACAGACTTTTGCTATGTGCCCTTTAAGATTACATGAATGGCATACCTTGTCTCTGTGTCTGCAGTCTTTTCTTGAATGTCCAGTTCCCCCACAACTGAAACAAGTATAGGATGGCTTCTTTTCTTCAGTAATTTTAGAAGAGGATTGAGGCTTTGGTCGCTGAGTATCTCTACGTTCTCTTACCTTTTTGTGTTTGTTTGGCATCGTGGCCTTAAAAGCATGAATCGGATTTGTCTGAAGTAATTGACTTTCTCGTTTTGCTGCTTCATCAGCTATGGCAATTTTCATTGCATCTTCAATGGTAGGAATATCTTGACTTAGGAGTTTCTTCTTTGTATTTCCATCGCGGATGCCACTTACAAATTGGTCCCGGAGGGCTCTTGGCAGGAATGTACCAAAATTACAATCAGTAGCTGAACGTCTAAGTCTTGCCCTATACTCGGCGATGCTCTCGCTTTCAGCTTGCACACAGGAATGAAATTTATATGTTCCAGCAACTTCTAAACTCTTGAGCTTGTAGTACGATTTTAGTAATTCACAAATTTCGGAGAAAGACTTTTCTTTTGGAACTGAAGGCGAACATAAATCTCGTAGGGTGTTGTATGTTTTGCTTCCAATCACTGAAATTATAACTGCGACTTTTTTCTTGTCCGCAGCTTTCTTGACTGCTTCCGTAGCATCCGCATCCGCATCCGCATCCGCATCCGCATCCGCATCCGCATCCACTTTCTAAGTAAGCAGTGAAGGTCTCCAACGAAGGATCAAATGCACCAATGGAACCAATGAGAGCGGCCATCTTGAATTTCGAATCTTGAATTTCGAATCTTGAATCAATTTGTTTGAATAAGCAATTAAATCTTTCCAAAAGAAGTTGAAAAACGATCTGTACTGCTAGATACTAACTTCCGACATCCTCGTCGCCAATTTGTTGTATCCTAAACTTAGAAATAATTAGTAAAAACACCAATCTCATGCCATGTGCTCTGGCTCTCGTTTCTTTTGTTTATTCTGCGCATGTTCC